TAACTTGTTCTGGTGTGTTTGATTAGGGCTGAAGCTAAACCTTGTAGAACAGGGTCTCCAGGAGATGGGTTGAAGACCTCTGCCCTAAAACTATTTCTTTAGATTTCAAGGTTTATGTAACATAAACCTTATAGTCCAGTAGTGAGTCCTGCCCTGAGTGGGCTGATGTGTAGTTTACCGGGTTGTAATGTCACTATTAACACCACCACAGGGCTCGCCTTCCAGCAAGCGCAGAGGCCCCCTGCTGCAGCCCATTATCGAGGGTGTACCAGCCCTATTCTTCAGCGACACCAAGGTGAAGAGCTGCTACTGCTCAACCAACCAGTGATTCGGCTGACCCACCTCCTTCCCCCCACTAGTTTCCTCATTAACCTAATCATGAATCAGTAACTGCATGGGAGTGCTGTGAGATTCGACTCCTGCTGATTCCATTGCCTTTTGATCACACCCCTATTGGGTTTTATATTAAAGAAAAACTCGAATCGGTAACTCGTGTAAGGCAGTGCACTAAATGCTCCAGTTGGAATGAATATAATTTACTGCACTGCTGGAGCACTGATGCTTTTCATTTGTACTAACGCTTATCACGACAGAAGCTTGATGCCAATGAGACTTGCCTTCTAAATGAATGTTACGCTTGATACTGCTCAGTCATGCTAGTGCAAACTCTCGAAGTTAAGCTGCAGTCGAGCTAACCAGGAGTGCTCTTTTCCAGGAGGAGGAGGACGGCTCGGACGATGACAACGACACCAGGACACAGTTCACGGTCACGGTTAAGCCGGAACTGAGCATGCTGGGACTTCTCGACCAGCTGGATGAGGACACAGATGGTTTCATCTCGCCTGTTGATGAACTCTCGCCCTCCAAGAACACCACTGACATGAGATTGTCCAATTTGCATGCTGCAACCATGTAAGTATAAGGTTTAGAGACGAAAACCCATGTCTTAGGGCACTGACACACAAGATAATGCTTGAACGGAGTGTTTTGAGGATGTGGAAAAATTCTAAATCAAGTAGGAGTATGCCAGATTTTTGAAAAACACCAAGAGTGAAGCAAATATTCGCATTGCATTATCGCTCTACGTTACTTGCGGGATGTTTTTCGCAACACTCGCATGAATAAAAGCATTGTTTTTCCTGATATAACCGGACGTGTCAATAAGCTCTTTGCTGATTGGCTTGCGCGACAACACATTGTGCAAATTTCCCGCTTGAGTTGAAATTTTTCAACTTGCACGGAAGACGCGATTGAGGCGAATATCGCGTGTTCGCAGCAATTGTGTTGCCCAATTCGCGTCTTTGCATTGACTTTGTATGTAATCTACTCGTGCAAATAATTAAATTTGCTTTTAGTATACACACACCATAATGACCAGGTCTCTTTCAAAAAAGGGACTAACCTGGGCTGTTCCCCAAAAGCATTGTAAACCCAAGTAGATCGTAGAGACCATTGGTGCCAATGGATTCTACAATCCATTTATGCTTAAGATGACTTTTTTGGAAACGCAGCCCTGGTAAAATAAAGGTGTAAATTGTTCTCAACCTTTGGATGTGCGATGTAGCATAACTTTTCCTAACCCTTTGAAATCAAAGAATTTGCAATGTTCTCTGACATACAATTCTAGTGTGTAAGCAGCCCTACAGACCTTTCTCTTTTCATGTGTTCACAATCCATCTTTTGTGGAGCTACAAGGCCGAATATACAATAGGCTAAAAGTAATTTGTAAGTTTAAAAAAGCGAAATATTCAGTATTATGTACAAACCATTGAAACCTCAAATGATTGCATTGTTGCTGCGGTGGTTTGATAGAATCCTAAAACTTTCCACTCCTTCCTAACCAAACACACAGGCAGGAACTTGTGGAGCAACTCCAGGAAGCCCGTGAAGAAAAGAAAAGAATCCGCAAAAACCTCCGTGATTTTGAGGATCAGTTCTTCAAACAGAATGGCAGGTAACAGAAACTTCCTCAATACGCGTTTTCATGTGCACGTTTGTTCTTAGAATTGTACATTTTCTTAAGCTTGAATCGGTCTAAACAGAGAGAAACAAAATCTTATAACTGAATGTTCTACTTTTGCTGTTCCCATAGAAACGTGCAAAAGGAAGATCGCTCACCCTTGGCTGGAGAATACAATGAATACAAGCACATTAAAGCCAAGCTACGGCTGTTGGAAGTGCTCATCAGTAAAAGAGACTCCTCTAAGTTCATCTAGTGCTCAGCTGGGATTTACTCTACTAGCCAAACAAGGACCAGCCACTGCTTTTCAAAGCAATATAGTGTGTACAAAGACATGTTCCTCTTTGTTATTGACTCATTACAGGCACATTTGGCTTTGAAGGACGCCAAGACTTACCTGGTTCACCAGATGTACAGTGCTGTTTGTTCCACTGTACAGCAAAAAGGACTTGTGTTCTGCTTTGGACTTAACGATTTTTTTTTTGTCCGCTATGAGACCGTGGATTTCAGAATACAATCAGATTACTTGTGAATCTCTGATCTTAATTCCCTTTGAAGCCCAGAAGAATGTTTCTGTTATATTTTGTGTTGTATTATACAGATTTTTAGCTTTTTTCTATATTAATATTGCTGTAATATAGAAACAACTGTTTTCGCAATCAGACATAAGCTTTGAAGAACATTGAGATAAATCATCTGTGTATGTACTTAGAGACGAGGAGAGTTTATCATTATAGGAACTTTTCGTATTTGATGATTTGAAGAAGGTAACCGATTTGTGGAAGGAAGGCTCTCTATATTATTTTTAATTATTTACTGGTGCCATAATTCTTTATTTTGAACATTAATGCTTCTGAGAAAATGTATTATTTGAACATGTTCATCGTTAATCAAATCTCTTTCTCCCTCCACTAAGACCAGTGACTAAGCTAGAGTTTACTTTACAAAAGAAAAAAAAAAAGTGCAAATGAACAACCGTAAGAAAAACGAAATCTGTTGCCATTTTCTAATGGTGTAGAAACGCACAGTGGTACTATAATTCAGCTTTCATTGTTATTTTTGTAGTGTTTTTTGTACTCCAGTGTCTTAACTGGTCATCAAATGAAGCTCACTGTTTAACAGTGATGTGGGTGGATTGAATCCCCTTTAAAACCGTCTCTATTGTTAGCGAGCAATAGAAAACAAAACTGTGGGGCCTCACTGAGCGTTTGCGCCTCGTAAATGCAGATACAAACAGAGTGAGCACATCACCACCTTCTCTTATTCTCCAGATTGGAAAATTGTAGTGTGACCTTTGTTTTTACAGAACGTGACAAGGCTGATGGATAAAGATGAATACTGTGTGTACATTTTAGTACATGATTGTATTTGTATTTTGTATATATGATATAAAAAAACCAAACTATTTTTTCTGAATATACTGGTGTTGGGTATTCATTTCGTAGTCATTTAGTGCAAGAAAATGCCATGACGTTTGATAATACTCTGAGGTGAAATAATTTTATTGTTCTGGAAAAAAAATAGATAAAACAATATATTCCATTTGAAAGCTATAAAATTAAATATACTTTACTAAAATAACAATGCATCAGTAGCCACTAAGAAGCCCTTGTTTGTATACATTGCCAGAAAGGAATAAGTTGGATAGAAACACTTCTTTATATGACCTTCCATCAAGTACAAACAAATACATCTCATGCAGCTAGATGCAAAACACCACAGGCCACAGCAAACACCTCACCGTGGTCCTGACAGTCCTCTATCGTCCACCATATCTGAAAACCACAAAGGTAAGTCACTCTGATCCATTTTCAATAACAACCCAACATTAATGCTCCACTCAGAAAGAAAATGCGAGTAGAAAGCAAATCCCTTTACAGCATATGACCTTCCTGTGAAACAACAGGAGGGATTAAATTGAAAGCAGCAATGGATTGACCGGAAGAAGAACACAGCTGTTAGAATATTCACATTTGTTGGATTAAAACACAATTAAAATCCCGTAAATAGTACACGTACATCAACCAGTAGTTATTGCTGAATTTGTTCCTCAATGAAATCTCAACCAATGTCACTTTAAGAGCAATATCAGATCTTTTACCACATAGTTAATTTAAATATTTTTTAAAAAGCAGCTTCGGCGCTCACCCTGGACATGGCATGCTCATGCATGCCAATCATTAATAAGAGACATTTTTATGCTAATGGCTTGCTACTGTACACAAAAGGAAAACCAGTGGAATGGATTCAGGAGGTGCGAAAGTGCATAATGTCCTATATGAGCATGGACTGAACTGGTGAAGCTTGGAAACAAAGAGATTATTTGTCGAGTTAAACCCTTTAATGTGTTGCAGGAGTGTCCAATCCTATTCCTGGAGGGCCACTGTCCTGCAGAGTTTAGCACCAACACTAATTAAACACACCTGAACCAAATGTAATCAAGGTATTCAGGATTACATGAATCTTCCAGGAAGGTGTGTTGGGATAAGTTGGAGCTAAACTTTGCAGGACATTGGCCCTCCAGGATCAGGATTAGACATCCCAAATGTATTGGGCCTGAAACGGTCTGTTCGGTGTACTGCGCTGATTGGGCTGTTACCTCTTTATCCCGGACGAGCCCCCAATTTGTAGGGTTGCGATGGCTCTTTCTGAATGGGATTAACCACTCATCTATGGTCAATAATGAGCATTTAGTGGGTGTTTCATATGCTTTAATATTGAGTACATTTGTTTAAAATTTGTTTACTTCCTTCCAGAAATTCAAACTGGCAAAATAACTGCAGTGTACAAGCTTGCTCTTGGAGAAGAGTTGAGTTTCATTCCAACCAGTTCCAACACACTTGCCTGGAAGCTTCTAGTCGATCCAAAGATCTTGATTAGCTGGTTCAGGTGTGTTCAATTAGGGTTGGAGCTAAACACTGCAGGACAGTGGCCCTTCAGGAACAGGTCTGGACACCCCTAGCAAAATAACGTGGTCTAGACAAGAGCAACCTATCGGTTTTCAAATCTGATTCAAAAATAATTAAATTTACAAAATATATAAAGAACGTCAAATTAATTTATTTTGCCAACAACTCAATCCTAATCTTATAATTTATTTGTGTCATTTAAAAAATATAAAAAAAATGTATAACCAAAAAGCAAACAAACAAAAAAACGGTGCACATCTCAAGATTCAACCAAACAAGCAAGTCAGAGTCTGTCTGTAAGATTAAGAAAATAATAGATTTACTCATACAAGACTCAGGATGTGCTCGTCTGTGGTAAAATAAATGTGAGAGCAGCGTTCATTTCCAGTTCTCCACAGGTTTAAAGTGCAGTGTCAGCATACAGAAAGCAACCTCTGCAGATCCCGCTCAGACCAGACTGAAACCCTCGTACTGCTCCACGGCTTGCGTGAGCCGGTGCCGCAGAGTCTCTTTGGTCTGGTAGCAGGGCATGTCCAGCATGTTATAGCAGGTGTGGGCCACAGGAAGGTAGTGCTCTTCCGCAGCAGTGGATTGGATGACAATGCGTAGACTGGCCATGCCGTGGATGGGGATGCGGTCACTGCCTGTCAAAAACACTGCGGGAAGGCAAAAGCACTTATTTGGTCTGCGTTGTAAAGGCAAAGTTGCATTAGCACAAAAAAGGTCCATAGTCCAATGGTGTATTTATGCGCAAAGCACCACTTACACAGAAGTCACAGCATATCAGTGTTGCCAAATCAGAACTGGGCTACTTTTACACTGTTACCAGATTGTTTTTTAGTCGGCAGGTTAAAGCGATCCCCACCCTCCAGAACTCGATTTCGACTGAGGCGACCACCGACCCCCAGGGAAAAACGTGATTGGGCTAGTTTTAAACAGTTGGGCTGGTTTTGTTTTGCAGACCTGGCAACCCTGCAGCATATCAAAGCAAGCAGCATTCTGTGAAAAACTTGGTGTTGGTGCAAAATCTGCGTGGGGGAATGTTTCTCCCTTATGTGAAATTCCCGATTGTGTGAATTCCTTTTAAAATGACTAGATTTTTACAATGAGCAATGGTAAACGTGACAGCACATTAAGTTATGTATTTATAATTTTATATCATAGCCATTTTATTTTTTGATAACATTATATTTTACAAATACTTCTACAAATACTTATTTTTCTTCATATGGTGACAAAACCAAGATTATTATTGTTAACTGAAGCAAAAACGATAAATAATAAAATGAAATACATATTTTATATATATAAATATATTAAAAAAAGTGAGAAATGTTGCCATGGCAACGAACTGAAATACATTTAAGCTGAAGCACTAAAATTACTGGAAATTAATAAAAACTAAACAACTAAAATTAAATCTAAATAGTTATATAAAAAAACTAATACAAATGACAAACATAAAATTTTTTAAAAAGTAACTAGAATTCAAATGAAAACTGAAAATACATAGATAAAATTCAAAATATTAATAAAACTGTAACAGAATATAAATAATATTAAAACAACATTGGACAAAACCTTACTGACCAATAAATTAAGCTCTGGGGTCACATGTCCCAAGCCTCTGTTTTATAGTCAAGAGCAACAGCTGATGCTAATGCATCAAAAAATATTTTTTACAGCCAAAACCAAATTTAGAAAAATCTTTTTTAGAAGAGCCATAGCAAACTCTTCTGCACAGCTGCTACTATTGGATCCATCCAAACCTGCAGGTAAGTTGTTTTATGGTTGTTTGCAAACTTTAAGCAGTGTTTGGATTTCTTCATACTCTCCTCTGCAGTATATGGAGGATGGCAGACCAGAGGTGCACAATATATAGTTCATTTTCATTCCGCAAAATAAATGAATAAATATGTTATGTGTTTTGCTTTGCATTTTCATTGCACTTTTGGTTTGAACAGGTCTTTACACTAGCTTTATATTCAGAGTTTTATATAATATATACAATAGTACCAATCGTTACAATGTTGACTCTCACTTACATAAAAACTGTTTCTTTTTCTCCAAGGGAAACTCATGAAACACCTCCCAAAACATCTTAACTGTTGGGTGTGATGCAGAGAACTCGCCCTTGTAGGAGGCATTCTGGGAGAAAAAGAAGAAGAGATGCAACACAAGGCATTAACATTGTGTCTTGTTAAGATAGTGAAGCACAGCTGTATGAAACATGTCCCACCTTCTCCATCTCCTCCCAGTTGTAGTTGTTGTTGCCCACCACCATGGCCATGAGCTCAGAGGGCTGGAAGAGAGAGAGAATCTCCCCGCCACAGACCTTCAGGAAACCGCTGGAGAAGGCCGAATACTGCTCCTGTACGGCATCACTGAACACATACTGTAAATACGCCTGAACAAACTCCTTCCTGAGAGACGAACACAAAAAAAGACACATTCAAGTGCTATACATACTGTATGCATCTAGGCATCTGTGACTTCTCATGACAATCAAATTTTATTATTATTATTAATAATTCTTATTACTGTAATGCAAACAAAAAGCCCACTCATTACATTAATGCAAAATAATTATATATATATGGTAGTAACTGTTGTAATGCCTTTATGCAGATTATAGTTTTTTTTCTAAATCATGGTATTATAGTCATTTGATAAAGATAATGAATGTTATATAATAATAATTCCCATTATATTAATAAAAAAGCAGTTAAAAATACTGCACAAATAGTAAGAATCTAATGTAATCACAGAAAGAAATGAGATATTATATATATATATATATATAAAAAAAAAAAAAGATCAAATCTAAATTTGAATGCATTGCTGAATTGTCTTAAACTGATTTTGTGGGCCTAAAAATAGGCTTCATTTCTATTGATTTTGTTGTATCTAGAACAGGACATGCTCTTTACCATTCTTGTCGTATCTGGTTAGAACATTGTGTTAGTTGCCCAGAAGAGTTTACCTATTATTAGTTAATATTATCAATGATTTTACTGTACATGCCACTGAAAGGGAATGTTGAACTAAAATCTCCCCTTTAGGATCAATACAGCATATCAGATGAGTGTAATCCAGTGCACATATTTACATACACGAGTGCATCAGACCGAGTGAATTAAGACTAATAATCTGAGCTGGGCTATAATCTCTTCAGGAGGTCATATATCAGCATCAGGTCTGCTGAAGAACGTGATTTGTTTGTGTGTGTGTGTGTGTGTGTGTGTGTGTGTGTGTGTGTGTGTGTGTGAACGGGCCTTGATCTGAGCTCAAGATGACTGGCCCTCTGCCTAATCTTACTTTCAGACAGCAGGACACACACACACACAATAACGACAATAACATGACACACAAATAAAACACACATGCATATTTCAAACAAATACCATTTTCTTAAAACATTTTCCTTTCCATACAATCTCCACTTAATGTTTTTCCTGAAATGTAACCTTGAATGCAGCAACAATTCTTCATACATCATTTTTTGTCTGGATTTGTGTTTTGGATTGTTTGGATTTGTGCGCTGTCCCATCTGTTCCTGCAGCTTCCGAAACCTTGCAATTTTGTCCCCACTGACAACACACACACTCGCTCTCACAGACACTGAAATATGGAGCACAGGCAGGAACAACATGACCTCTTTCAGACCTTTACTTAAAGAGACACACACACCTGTTTGTCTTGTCCACAGCGATGGTCTTCCCGCCCTGTACCAGCTCTTTAACCTCCGTTATCCCGTAATACTCTCTCGTAATCTGTGGTCACAGTTGTTAAATTTTGTCATTCAGGAACACAATTTTCCCTTCATCCCAGTAAGTACGTCGACGACACATTCCACAGGGAAAGAATCGCTATTCCACATTTGTGCACAAATATCTGATAAACATATTAAAAAGTGCAGATTCACATTTCAAACAGGGTTGGGTGATATACTGAATATATACAGTATATATGCAAAAATGTTGTTGATGCTATTAAAGGATAGTTCTGACATAGTTCTAATTCTGACATCATTTATTCTCCCTGCACGCTGTTCAAAACCTGCAGGAATTTCTTTCTTCAGTTAAAAGCAAAAGAAGATATTTGGAAGGATGTTGGTAACCAAACAGCTACTGGTAGCCAATGACTTCCATAGTAAGGAAAAAATACCAGTGGCTACCAGCTACTGTTTGGTTACCTACATCTTTAAAAATATCTTCTTTTGTGTTCAGCAGAAGAAAGAAATTCACACAGGTTTGGAAAATAATTACATTTTAATTTTTGTGTTAACTACCTCTTTAAATAAAGCAACATTGTGAATATCACAGTAATATTAAGAGTGTTATTTTGAATTTGAATTTAAGTTTCACAAAAACAGTTTTGGATGGATACATTTTAATATGTTCATTTGTCAAATTTGAGATATATTTGGAACAGTATTATTTTAGTATTTTTACATTCTATTATATTATTTATATATATTTTGAATTGGCTTTTTTTACATTATCAGTTTTCATTTAAATGTTAGTGTAAGTTTTGGTCATTCTGTTTTGATTTAGCTTTAATTTATTTTTATTTCAATTAATTTTAGTACTTCAATGTAAACTTATTTCAGTAATTTACCAAGGCAACATGTCAAATTTTCATTTATTTCTATTTTTTTAATGCAATTTGTACATGTAATATTTTATTAATTTCATTAATTACTTTTTTCTTCAATTACCAAAAATGATTTTTCACAGTTTTAGTTTTAGTTAACAATAAAACACTGATTTGGAAAGTCCTATTAGCTACAAATCAGTTCTAGTTTATATTATGAAATAAAATGTTATTACTAAAAATAATATATTTGATTAAATTTACATGTTGTGTAAATATTACTGTTTACTATCATGTGTTGTTATATTGTTACATTATGATTAAATATCTATAGTTATGTATATATTAATTTAATATTAAACATACATTTTTATTTTAATATAAAATTATAATAAAAATAACAAATTCATTCGCCAGTTCAGAGCTAATATTGCCAAAACTTGGAAAATACTGAGATATAGTTGTTTTATTTTTATCGCCCTTCCCTAATTGTACATCATAAACCAAAAAACATCTGTTGAATGTCATTCCATCATCCAACAGGAAACGCTGACGGGACATATGGCCAATGAGCAAACGCTCTTCATCTTCCAGATTAAAAGCGCACACATCAAATAACCGTCTTGGCAGCATGTGTGTGATATCAAGGACAGGTTCAGTTGAATTTATTTACTAAAGCAGTGACTTTCTTCATAATATGAATTATCAGTGATATTCCTCTAATCAGACAAACGCTCTTGACTTGACGTGGCCTAATTTGAGGGGTCGTATTTAGTTTAGTGTCTAGCAACTTACTGCAAAGTTCAGACAGAAGGTCTCCTCCACATCACCCTCATACTCCAGCAGCTGCTGAAGACTCCTGCAGACAGGTGAACACATATAATGACAAACAGTTTGTGAAAATTTGAAGCAGCCCTACAGTTTTGGAAAGTGTTCTTCTCACTGATGTCTCATCGACAGGCATTTAATTGTCTTTTTTTCTCCTGTAATCACAGCTAAGAGCTCACCAGCTGCAGGATATAAAAGCAAATCCCTGACTTACCCGAGCAGGACAGGGGCCACACATCATCACCTACTTTTAACAAATAATGTTTCCTGCCTATGACTCTATAAACCACATATAAATCATGATGTTTGCAGGGATTTTTACATAAGCGGTCATTCAGAAGAAAGATTCAACTGAGCTCTCAAAACAAGAACCAGGACATGTTTATAAGCTAGCTGCACGAATATATTCAGTTTACATTTAAAAGAAGAAACATGTAAAAGCAACTTCAATGCCTTCTTGCATACTCAGGTTCGTTTCTGCCATGGTACCATGGTAAAAAAAAAGAAAAAAAAGTTGACTAAAAAACATAGTGAAATAAAAATAAAAAGCATCAAAAGTGAAAAAAATAAAATAAAATACAGTTTTATTAATACAAATTTTACAGTTTTTAATTTAGAATGTGTTGTAAAGGTTATAAATTTTACAACCCACCTGCATTAAAAATTAAAATGCAACAACAATTAAAAAAAGAGTTAACAATAACAACACTGATTTGAATAGTCCTATTAGCCACAAATCAGTTCTATTTTATATGATAAAATAATATTTTATGACTAAATACAAATTTTAGTAATATATTTTAATTCTAAAATAGAATATATTGTTAGCAAATATACGTTGCGTAAATATTGCTGTTTGCAACATATGTATTGTTGCATTGGTGCGTAAATGAGTAATTATGCGTAATTTACGAGCTAATATTGTCAAAGTTTGAAAAAACTGATATAACTGTTTTATTTTTATGGCTATCCCTAATTCTAAAACATAAATCACAAAAACCTAATTAAATAAAATTTCAAAATATTCAAATTAAAAAATAAACTAAATAAAACAATGAAAACTATTAAACACAGAAAATCTAAAAGTAACAGCCATCAAGAAAAAATAAATAAATATATAATATTTACATGTATTTACATGCATATATGTATATTCATATAATTTATATTATTTATAAATATATTTAATATATAAACAACATATTTTTCTTAAATATATACATGCATGTACGTGTATTTATATATACATAATAAATATGCACAGTACACACACATATATTATGTAAACAAAAACTTTTATTTTGAATGCGATTAATTGCGATTAATCGTTTGACAGCACTAGTATATATATATAAATAAATTAAAAGGACTAAAAAAAATAAACACATACATATATAAATAATAGACATAAAAACTAAGTTCAAAATTCGAAAATTATAACAACCCTAGTCTGTATTTGTGTACTTGGCATAGGTTGTTTATCTTAAAGTCAAATAAAGTAGAAGCTGAGTATCCTTTTCAATTTGATGTTGCTGTAAATCTTTGTATTTGTTCCTGAGCTGTTGGTCAGATTAAAATGGTCCATGAATGAATCCAACAATGTGTCAGACACATCTAACTGAGTGGAAACCAATTAACCCTTGATCCTTTTAAACGCATTAGCACACAATTAAATCATCTACCATGGGTGGCTGTGCAATATTTGCTGATGCTGGTCTTAAAGTTATAATTGCCAGGTCAAGGTCTGCTGATGGCTGCTTTCATAAGATGACATGACTCAAAAACTGCGTGGGGAACAGCCTTGAAGCCGCAAACCGTAAACACGATTACAGACTTGAACCAGCCATCAACTCTGGGCTGGCTTGTCTGCTTCTGCAAACAATTAGTGGTCTGATGGTGACTCACAAAAAGCTTTTTGGGTGGCTTTTAATTAATGTTATATAAAAAACAACCTGTTTATGTAACGCAGTGGCAAAGGACACTGAGCGTAGGGCGAATAATTAGACAAAACAGTTCCTCTTCATTGGTCTGTGCAGTCCGTTTAGGACCGATTTCTCAGTAAAGCCTCGGGGGTGACAGGAAGTCCATTGATTTGGTCTAACGAGGGCTGTGATACAGTGGTCTGCAGCGCATCTGTGGGAGGCCGAGCTGATTTGATTAGCGCGTGATGGCTTTTGGTGGAAAAACAACAAAATGTTGCCTACAAGGGCTAAGTGGTACAAGTTTAGATAAAGATAGGGCTTAATTTGAACAATCTGGATCCAGCACCTCTGGATCCTATTTTAAATGATCTACCATCTCATATGGAGAGCAAAAAGATTTGTGTTTTGGTAAATTCTGGTTTAAATTCTGGTCTGTATGGCCTACTTTTATGTCATTTTGAACAACTCTTTTGGATGAACAATGCAAAGTCAAGAAAAGCATCATGCTGCATACCTTCCCTCTGTAGGCGAAAGCTCTTTCAGGTCATCCAGTGTGGGCAAAATGTTCAGAAGCTTCTTGTAGAGCACCAGAGGAAAGTGCAAGTCCACTACAGTGGAGTTATAGATGGCCAAACCACAGATGATCCCAATCAGGTGGAACCAATTGTGCTCCACAAAACACTGCAATGTAAACAAACAGGCACTTTTACATACTGATGTCACCAAGATTCCTTTATCTAACAGCCATCTTTCCATTACAACCCTTTAATTATTAAAAAATGCTTGTCTACAAATAGATCTCTCCAGCAAAAAGTAAATAAAACTCATTAAATCACATGCAGTCTTGTTTTGTACACAGCTGAGGTGTTCTGGAAGTCATCGTGCCATACAGAAATTCAGCAGGATCATCATGTTTGCATGAAAACAGCTGAGCTGGTCCAGATATTTCAATATCAGCAGTCCGATAAGATTATCTGTTGATGTTCTCATTCACGTGGCTCTATAGAGTGCTGCAGGGATGATATATTTTTGCTTGGCAAAACTCTGAAACAACTTAGCATTTTAGCACTGGTTCCATTGCCAAGTATTCAATGTTTTTTTGAATGGGCTTTTGGTTGAAATAAGGCCTGTGGTGTACAAGCTCAAGATATTTTCACGTTTTTGTATTCTAAGACATCAAACACATCAGTAATATCCCCTCTAGTGATTTTTTTAAAGCGTTACTTGTCTTGAAAAAGTTGTTAACAAGTGGCTAAATAGGTCTTTAAATAGGGCCCTATGATTTAAAAATCAAATCAAAAAATAAAAATAAAATTTACTGTATAACGCAGAATGTCACAGAATTTGCCAAATTTTGGATGGATACATCAAAAGTAGGTTAGTACACTTAAATCAAAATGTGATATGGACTAGAGTCTGTGAATATTAAGCCGCAAAAATACAATTTAAATATGTATCCTGCTTGTTCTGTGTGTCTCTGTGTGAATGAATGGTGCACACGCGTGGTTTCAACCTCTGCCGCCTCTGGTTTCAGGTGTTTTCTGCCTCTGCCTTCTCAATATATATGAGTATATTGTTACGTCCATATATGTCCTTGTGGGAGTGCCTGTGTTTTTCTCTCTCTCTCTCTCTCTCTCTCTCTCCCCTTTCCCTATCGATCTCTTAGGCCGCCTTCCTTGACTGCTGATTGGCTCATGACGCTGTCAGTCATCATTAAGCAACTTGACGGTTAGAAGTGGTTTTATGTTTCTTTCTTTCTTTTGGCGTCACTAGCATCCCATTTCTCTTGGGTTGATTTGTTTGTTTGTTTTTGTTTCCCTTTTTCCTGAGTTGTAAATATTTGTACATATGGGTTGTCTCTTTAAATGATTTATATTTTGTAGTTATATGGATTCTTTTCACCTTGTATAATAAATCACTTCGTTGGCAGTTTGTGTCCCTGCATTGTCTCTTGCTGCCTCCATCAAGTCTACAGATTTGCCACAAATTTAATGTTACTCCTTTTACCCCTAGACCATCTTAAAGGGTCGTAACAATATGAACACATGAACATGATCTCTAGAATTGCTCTGAGAGTCACTTCATGAGCATTTTACGGTTTCTTTTGAGTAAAACTATCATCATATCATATACAAACAGAAACCTAAAAGGTCTTCACAGCAACCCGTCAAAATAAAAGTTTGGTTTAACTTGAAGAAACAGTGACAGAAACAGTACTTAATGTAATAATAGTACTACTACTACTAATAAAATTATTATTAAAACATTATTTTCAAAGGAATATTTACCAGAATTTATTTAGCAGAAAAATGGAAATACACAACACACCATTTCTGGAAAAAAAGAGAGAAATAAAATAATAATATTATTTGTAATAAAATCAATTAATTAGAGATTTACATTTACATTTAGTCATTTAGTCATTTAGCAGACGCTTTTATCCAAAGTGACTTACAAATGAGGACAATGGAAGCAATCAAAATCAACAAAAGAGCAATGATATGCAAGTGCTACAACAAGTCTCAGTTAGCTTAACGCAGTACACATAGCAAGGTTTTTTTTTTAAATTACATAATAAATAAAAAGAAAACAGATAGAATAGAAAAATAATAGAGCAAGCTAGTGTTAGAGTGTTAGTGAACTGTATAATAAATTAAAAAAACAAATAGAATACAAAAAGATTAGAAAAGCTAGTGTTAGTTTTTTTTTTTGTTTAAGCAATGTGGTCTGAGAAAGTCATCAATCATAACTCCAAGGTTTCTGCTGTTTTTAAAGGAGTTATGGTTGATGTGCATACCTGGATGGTGATGGATTTGATGGAACCACAAGCAGTTATGTCTTGGCAAGGCTGAGTTGAAGGTGATGGTCCTTCATCCAGCAAAAATTTTATTAATGAAGAACGTGGCAAAGTCGTCAGCTGTTAGAGATGCTTTTGATTATTCATATTTAAACCATTAAAATGTAATCCAGAAAATTAATAGTAAACAGAATTTGGTAAAAATAAAACATATTTCATACGGCCTTAAAAATTTAATTTTTGCTAAACTTTTAAGAAATTGCTGTTTAATATTGTAAGCTTCATGATTTCAATTAATTAGACATGCTTTTTGATGAATACAATTTAATTTAACCATTAAAACAGAGTCTAGAAAAAAAAAATGGAAAAACAGAATCCAGAAAAATTAAAGCGGAAAAAAATTTCATAGGGCCCTAGTCTATAAAGATTGTCGGGGACATTAAACGGTCCTTATTACACTGAACAGGTAAACTCATCTACTCACTAGTTGCTTTCACTGACTTATTTGTGTTTATAATGGCGATCCTACAAATGATTCCAACTCAAACTTTCAGGGAAAATGTTTTTAATTAAAGACTGAAAAAGCTGATGGATGTTTAATGGTGGTTATGTTGAAATCATGTGACCATGGTGTGGTTTGTACATTTAGATTTTTTTACTTGTACTTAGGCTTCAAAATTCATAAGAGTTGTGTTCATTTGTAAAGATTATCATGATGAAAAACACTTGTAAGAATCATAAACTTTTGTTGGTCACAGAGCTTATTTTCTGCAATAATCCAATGGAAAAATCCTATTGGGTTTTTGTAGAGGGAACCAGCCTGGCTGGCCTACAAAATCACCGTCATCACTGCATCACTGTATTGTTACCTGTGAACAACAGCTATGAAGGACAAATGCAATTCATCCTTCAGGCTCTTCCTATCAAACATTGCAACTAACATTAAGACTGGAGTACAGTGCATATGCAATTAAATATTGTTTTGCATTCAAATTATATCCTTATCACGTTTACTATAAATCTTTTTCATTATCTTAGTATTATGTTGAATTTTGTGATAACTAAGCTGAACTCACTTTATCAGAGAACCACAGCAGATTGGACTCTGAATATTGGGTGAACATGCCATAGATCGGATCAATCAGCTCTTTAAGCAGGAGCAGGAAGAACTCCTTAGTGACTCCTCCAGCATCCACAGCTTCCTCTCCATCAAAGATGACCTGCAATGATCAGTAAATCTCTGTTTGTCAACTTATGTCTAAGTGGGCAGTCTTGGCCAAAATATGCTACAATATGGACCAGACAACAGTCTGGCGTTGGGATGATAAAGGCAAACCTTAAGCGGCTTCTTCAAGTCTACGTCATTGTAGACTGTGAGCTCCCGGAGAGCATCGCTGACTAAGTGGTTCCTTCTTACGTGAAGCACCAGGAAAGGGTTTCTTGCCAGCAAAGGTTCCATAGTCAACAGCATGAAGACGTTGTGCAAGTTAGCGCCGCTTACTGCCATCTGAACAGGAATCAAGCAGGCAAAACTAGTCAAAGAGGCTGAATAACAAGAGTCAAGAATCATAAATCATAGCAATTTCACAGCAGGAAGAGCATTTTCTCTGTATCCACTCTGAAACCAACAGCAAATCATGATTTTGCCAAGGCTGTACCATGGACTAATGCAATATGTACTCCTTAACTTCCTATTAAGATATTTTCTAAAAAAGAAATTAATATTCTTATTCAGTAAGGATGCATTCAATTTATCAAACTGAATAGTACAGACTCTCACAAAAATTCTATTTCAAATAAATGCTGTTTTTTTTACTTTCTATTAATCAGAGAATCCTAACAGAAATGTATTGCAATTTCCTCAAAAACATTAAGCAGCATAACTGTCTTCAAGATTGATAATAAGCAATGTTTCAGAGCAGCAAATCTGCATATCAGAACGATTTCTGAAGGATCATGTGACACTGAAGGCTGGAGTAATGATGCTGAAAATTCAGCTTTGTATCACAGGAATCAATTAAAATATAATACATATAAATATAAAATATATTCAAACAGAGAACAGTTACTTTAAAATGTAATAATTCTTAAAAATATATTTTTTTACCTGCATTTGCAGCTCAGCATCTGTTTGCAGCACGGTTGTCTTGGCTTGTGCGTTCAATATGAACGGATAGGCACATAACGTGACAGAACCCTGGGAAATAAGATTCAGATTATCAAGCTGAGACCATCACAACTGTCAAAAAAATACATTTACAAAGAGCTATTTAACCAACATACCTGCACTGGAGGGTATCGCATTTTCTACGACAAGACAAAACAAGGAATTATGTTATTTTTCAGCTTGCTATGATCAAAATTTGAGGCTTTTTGTGTAACTATGACATTTTGTATGCACAATGGGGTCTAGCTCATGTTCACATTAACATATAGCTTTTGCAGTCCATCTACAAAAGGAAAAGTGACATGAAAATCTACGTATGTGCAGTGATATACGCACAATATCAGCTTTGCGCAGAAACCATTTGAGGTAGTCTTCCTGTATGTCCACCAGGGTGGCGATGTCAGGGATGTAGAAGTGGTTGTATTCCACACGATGGGCTTTCAGATTGACCTGCACCAAAATATTTGGATCAACACTTGGTTTAGTCATTTAACAACGCAAACTAAATTACACAAGCTTGTCTGCAAAAACAGAAGAAAAACAGCAATTCAGCTCTGATGCTGGGGAATATTCAGCTTATTAATTAGTTCATCATTTACTTATTAAACTGTTTTGGGGATTTTCGCCATACCTTGTGTAGCTTCTCCAGCAGTCTAAGGGCGGCACTGGTGTAGCTCTCCAGAAACACAGGCATCAGGAGCGCCTTCCCGCCAGTCAACAGAAACACAACAATGCTTTTGTACATCTCCACTAGTCTGGAAAAAACCTCGCAATCCATTAGAGACCACCAGTTATCTGAGAAACGAGAATAAGATTCATTTCAAAAGCCCTTTTGATCTTGAACTCTGATCAACTTTGTAACTAAGCAACTAATGGTGTTGCTAGGCAGTGGAATATGTGCATACCGAGGACTTTGCTGGGGTTGGCGTCCAGTCTGAGGATGGCCATGGCTAGAGGGATGGTGAGAGAGATGTAGTTTTTGGAGTCCTGGAGAGCGGGACATTCAGACAGGATCAGGTAGATCCGCATGGCTTCCACGTCAGGAGGAGAGCAGGTCAGCTGGGGGATCAGGAGACTCTCAAAGCTCTTCGTGGCCTAGAAGAACACATTTATGAGCTGTTTATTATTAAAAATACACTTAAACAGACTAATATCAGAAAGGTCAGCAAGATTTTTTTTTCCTGAGGACAGTATGGAGTATGCCATCACTAGGAGGAAGATAATTTGAAATCAGCATCAAAATAATAACAAATATATTTTATAGAGTGTGCTTTAAAATATATGGTAGCACAAATTATCTCTTCTATTTAAAAAAAAGAAATATATATATATATATATATATATGTATATGTGTGTGTGTGTGTGTGTATTATCATGTTTTTTATTGTTATCATGTTTTTATTGTGTTTTATTGCGTTAGTTAGCTGTATTTTTTCGTTATTTTGTAACCTAATCAAAATAACCCAACTGCAGTTTGATAAGTGGTGATGTTTGATACGAGTCCTCTCTCAGGGTTTTTATTAGAATGTCTTACTCTTTATGTATTCTTATTTAAGCAATAAGGTATGAAAGGCTTTGCTATATTATGAATATAGTCATGAATAGAGGGCATTTTAGACATGGCATAACTATATTTATAAAAAAGCACATCCTTTTGTGCATTATTGCTTAAACAAATTGTCTACTTAAAAGAAGTTGAGATGCAAAAGCCTCTAAGTGCCGTTTAAATTTTTTCTAAAATGAGCATTTTTCTCAGGCTCCTATGTTTATGTTCAGTTATTTCACTTTAACGGCAATGAAAATAATCTATTCATTGCCATTAAAGTGAAATGACTGAACCATACACATAGGAACCTGATAAAAATGCTCATTTTAGAAGAAAATTTCAAATGGTACTTAGAGGCTTTTGCATCTGAGCTCTTCTCACACACACACACACGGTACTTAGAGGCTTTTGCATCTGAGCTCTACACACACACACACACACACACACATACAGTATATACATAAATATATATATATATATAAAATTTGTTTTCTGCTGAAATAATGCATGCATGGCTACGGAAGAACAACTAATCACTATTAACTGATAAAAAACAAGTTTTCTCATCAAATCAAATCAAGAATAAAATAACTAATCAATAAATTCAGATTTCTTTAAAGAAACAGATGATTTTATTCTGCAAGAATACATTAAATTGATCAAAAGTGACAGTAAAGAGGTGTTACAAAAAATTATATTTCAAATAAATGCTGTTTTTATTTTATTTTTCTATTTGTCAAAGAATCTTGAAAAAAACCCCACAAAAATATTAAGCCGTTTTCTACATTCTTAATAATCAGAATTTTTTGACCATCAAATCAGTATTTTAGAGTGATTTCTGAAGGATCATGGGACACTGAAGACTGGAGTAATGATGCTGAAAATTTAGCTTTGCATCACAGAAATAAATTACATTTTAAAAACATATTCAATTAAAGAAAAGTTACTTTAATTTGTAATTACTGTTTTACAGAATTTTTGCTCAAAGATAATGCAACCTTTAGTGAGCATTAGAGAAACACTGAAATAAATCCTACAGACTGCAAACTTTTGAACGGTAGTGTATAAAAAGGAGCTATGATTCCTATAATTAGAGTTATACCAACAAGTATACCAACTTTCACCCAGTAACACACACAAACAAGGCTTTGAATGTTTTAGAAACCTGATAAAGTCTGCAGCAGAGTTACTGCCTTCCAAGTATGCAGTGCTTTAAAGACCTAAATAAATGATGAGATGAAGCCAAGATTTCAAACGCACACACCTGATCCAAAAGTCTTGCGAAGGTTGGTTTCATCAGCGTCTCAAAAAGCAGCCTAACAGCATTGAAATCGATGCCTGGGACTTTGGGGTTGGTTTTGAAATGCCCGTCATCACTGTGAAAACAGCAGGTGGAAATTAGTATCCAAATGCTTGGAAATAAGCCGTAAAGCTACACAGTATGAAATCTGATATTGTACTAATCTAATTTACTAATTGAAGATTTTAGAAATGGTTTGTGTTTGCTGAATAAGTTACTATATTAGTTAAACTGTTTGAAAACATAACAGTGAGATTTAGTATCTCCAAGCAAGTGCATGGGAACTAGTTAAGGAACAGATGAACAAATAGATGGATCTGAGGTGAGGAGATTTAAGGTCTTTCCTCTCCATTGCTCTTTATCGGTGTCTGTTGCTCTGAAGGGATGAAAGCAGGATCACACGCTGGGTTTAAATACAGAGCCGCAGGTGTTTAAGCCTGATGCTGATCCCTGCACTACAGAGCAGTGAACCCCACACGCATGAGCACATGAAGCAGAGCCAGTGTATTTTAAGCATGTCAGGGTAAGATGACTATATCTATAATAAACGGCCGGTCACACACCAAGACGTGTTATTAATACGAGTCCAGTTTCAATGAGATGGCAAGATGTGTTTAACCTTTACATTCAATCCAATCCCATTCAAATCATTTAGATTCCATTTGATTCTATCGATTAGACTGCTTCAGCTAAATCCAATTGCAGATTTGATTCGATTTGAATCATTTTAAAGGGGTCATATGATGTTGCTAAAAAGAACATTATTTTGTGTATTTGGTGTAATGAAATGTGTTTATGCGGTTTAAGGTTAAAAAAAACACATTCTTTTCCACATACTGTACATTATTGTTCCTCCTCTATGCCCCGCCTTTCTGAAACATGTCGATTTTTACAAAGCTCATCGGTCTGAAAAGCAAGGTGTGCTGTGATTGGCCAGCTATCCAGTGCGTTGTGATTGGCCGAATACCTCAAGCGTGTGATGGAAATGTTACGCCCCTTACCCTACTGTGATACCGTGTCTCGGCCGGAGCGACGAGACAAAAACAATAAAACCCATTATAAACAAGGCATTTGTTGCATCCAGTGGGGACATAATTATTCAGCATCAAAATAATAACAAATATTTTATACAATGTGCTTCGACAGATACATCACAACTGATTTATTTAAAAAAATAATCATTTTAATTTTTTTGCAATTTGATAACTTCATCTGATTTTATTTTTCGCAAGGATGCATAAAATTGATCAAGTGACACTTATAGTGTTACAAAAGATTACTATTTCATATAAATGCTTTTTTACTTTCAATTCATCAAATAATCATTACTGCTATGAAGCAACACAACTGTTTTTAACACTGATAATAATAAAATAATATGTTTCTTGAGCAGCAAATCATCCTATTAGAATGATTTAAAAAAATTAATTTTAAAGAAAATTTTAAATTAAAAATAAAAAAAAGCTTGCACTATTCATTTACTAACTGCTTGTTTTCTTAAAAAAAAACTAACACTAGCTTCTCTATTCTTTTTCTATTCTATCTGTTTTCTTTTTATTTATTATATAATTAAAAAGAAAAACCCTTGCTACGTGTACTGCATTAGGCTAACTGAGATTTGTTATAGCACTTGCATATCATTGCTCTTTTGTTGACTTTGAATTGCTTCCATTGTCCTCATTTGTAAGTCGCTTTGGATAAAAGCGTCTGCTAAATGACTAAATGTCATTAAATGTTACAAATGTAATGTAAATATAATGATTTCCTAAGGATCATGTGACACTGAAGACTGGAGTAATAATGCTGAAAATTCAGCTTTGACCACAGGAATATATTACAATTTAAAATATATTCAAATTCATTTGTCATAATATTTCCCAAATATTACTGTTTTTACTATATACTTTATCAAATAAATGCAGCCTTGGTGGGCACTTTTGTCAAAAACAGACTGAATGATAGTGTATGTCATTCTATGAAAGTTAAATACTTTCATTTATGATCTTTGAAGTAATAAATGGTTGCCAAGTGGAAGATTTCAGCGAGGCCTCTGTCATAACTGTAATCAAACCGGATAACGTCACACACTCACTTGGTGATGCTTGAATCGCTGTTGTCATGGAGCTTCATCCTCCAGCTGTCCAGACTCTCAGAATTAATCAGAGCGATGCTTTTGGTGGTATTCATAATGCGGAAATCCTCGGGACAAGATGAACCCTGTTCTCAAACACACAGACAAACACTTCAGGTCACAATATACTCCAAGTATAAAAACAACAAGCCGATTTTAATGGTTTTAGCATTAACTGGTCTAATTAAGAAGAAATAAAACATATCACATCAGTGAGAGCAACAGCAGTGTTTTTTGTCATGTCCTGTAAGCCCATTATATTGATGTAACGGCGCCACCATGTGGATAAGAGCAAGTACTGACCTCCTAGCTGCCACTTTTTTATTTTCACAAGAGCAAATGTAAAACTGCCTAAATGTAAATATTAAAATCACACAGAAGCTAGTAGTATGAGCAGGTACTGACTCGCTATACTTTATATTCTGTGAAAATATATTGCACTAATTTATTGAATATGCTTGTAAAGGAAACATATCCAAACAATCAGTACAGCATCAGCGGAGTTGTTTCACAGCTCTAATGACACTCCAGTGAAAATCAGCATGGTTACCTCCTTAGTAGACAACAACAGGAAATTGTGATCGCCTCCACTGTTTATTTTACGGATGGTGTAGCACTCGCCTTCTGTAGACAAAGAACATAAGTGGTTCCTTTTATACAGTAGTTATATAATAACAAAGCACATGAAGAATGAGTTTTAGTTATCTATGTGTGTTATTAATGAGTTCAAACTTATCAACAATTCTAGAATGGATACCAGGCACTTTTCTGCAAAATGCATACCTACTTTATGCTAAAAGCGTTCAATAATTTCTGCATACAGGACAGTTGACCTTATAAAAACAATCTGAAGAAGAACTAAAGAGACTCATTTTCAAATTATTACTATTTTTACACATCCACACATACCAAATTGTGCATTCAACCTTCTGTGCGGTCATCAAAACAACACACACACACACACACACACACACACACACACACACACACACACACACACACAGGCCTCTGAAAGATCCAGCCATCAGATGAATCACAATCCAAACTACAGATCCTCTTCAATGCTGTCTATTTATATCTGACCATCCCTGCATGGACACACGGTCTCTACAACAATCCCTATCACTCCAGTTAGAGGACTAATTATTTACTCCCTCAAAATAGCAGACCCTCTATATCTGCTTCAGATGGAAAACCATTAAAGCATGGTACCGCGAAACAAAACACTCAACTCCAGTGAAACTGTATGGAGGTTTTTCATTCATTATAGCCATATACTAAAATACATATGAGTGTGCTCAAATTTACCTCTATTCAAAATACAGAAAGTGCGACTGATAATTATTTTTGTGCAACAGCTGACGTCTGAACTGTTTTATTCTTTTAATAATATTTATTTCTTCAAAAGGAATTCACATTAAAGCTCTAATATGAATGTTAAATACATATTTGGGGCAGATTTACTAAACCGGGCACATCAGCATGAGACAGCAATTCTATAAAAGTTCTGTGGCCGATCTACTGACAACGCACAAATAAAAGAACACAGACGCAGCCGGATCATTTCCATAATGACCAACACAATCTACTAAGAGCGGCACAAATGAGCAACTATCACAGCCTTGTCAAGCGCAAAATGAGATAAGGCATTAAATAATGGTGCAAATCAGTAAATTAACATTTGGCTTGTTATAATTGATTTTGATTATTTATTTAATCCATTCGAACATGTGAACATACTTGTGTGTGTATTTCCAATGCACAGGGGCTGGATGTTTCTGACAGGAAGTGGGCTCTTAGCATTTCCTCTGAGGCCTGTACCCAGCTGGCCCTGAGTGTTGCAGCCGAAAGCGTAAACCAGACCAGTGGAGGGCACGAATGCCAGGGTGTGGTGCCTGTGACGTACACACAGAGGTATGCTGTCAAATATCCCTTCTCATACTTATCTGATGACTGCATGCACAAAATGAGCTATTTATTAACCATATGAACTACTGCATGTTGTTTATGGAGGAGTATAGTTACTATTCGGCAATAAATGGCCCTGTACTTAGTGCAATGTAAATCACTTTGGATAAAAGAGTGTGCTGAGTGACTATTAGTCAGTTTAATTAAAACATATTTTATGTTTACATCATATTTCTGTTCACACAGCAAAACACATGGCTGCATAAAATAGTTTGATTAATTTCAATAATTATCTACTGTATACTAATGGTTAAAGGGATAGTTCACCCAAAAATATATTTAGATATTAAAATAAAGATAAATAAATTAATAAAGGTATATTTGATGAAATCCGGGAGCTTTCTGGCCCTGCATAGACAGCAATGGAACTGCCATTTTCAAGGCCCAGAAAGGTAGTAAGGATATCGTTCAACAGATTTCACCAAAAATATCTTCACTTGTGCTCTCAAGATAAATTAAGGTTTATTATTTATTCACTTTTTAAGGCCATGCCAGCTATTTTAATGGCTATCTCAGAATATATGACGCAAGGTATACGCAAAAATTCTAGAATACATTCAGGTGATGTATTTCTAAATAAATCAGTTAAATACACCTCTGAATAAAACCGTTGTCTATTTAGATAAACGAAGGTCTTACGGGTTTGGAACGACATGATTTCAGTGGATGCTGATTTCCAGAGATCAGGATCACATTAATTTATTTTTAAACAGTTTTTTTTTTTAATAATTTACACTACTGTTAAAAAGTTTAGGAAGAGTAAAAGATATTTTAATGTTTTTGAAAGATCTTATGCTCAACAAGGCTGCAATTATTTGACCAAAAATACAGTGAAAACAATAATATTGCGAAATAGTATGATTGAAAATTGTTTTCTATTTGAATATATTTTAAAATATAATTTCAGCATTATTACTCCAGTCTTCAGTGTCACATGATCCTTCAGAAAACATTCTAATATGCTGATTTGATGCTCAAGAAATCTTATTATCAGTGTTAAAAACACATGTGCTGTGTAAACCATTACATGTTTTTCAGGATTCTCTGCTAAATAGAAATTTCATTTGAAAAGAACAGCATTTTTTAACATTATAAATGATGTTACTGTCACTTTTGATCAATTTAATGCTTCTTTGCTAAATAAAATTCATATTGTATTAATAATAAATTGTATTAAAACTGTATTAATACACAAAGGTTACTCAAAAATACTAAACAAAATATGTGCATTATCCATACAGTGTTAGTATGCTTTGGAAATGACACAAAATTAAAGCTAACACTAAAAGGAAATCAGCACATTCACCAATCTAAAACAGATGGACACAGAAATGTGCATCTTGTCTAGTGCATATACTTACCGCCCACAAGCGATCTGAGACACCTCAGTGCCCATGAGCTCCATAACTCTGCGTGGAAGAGGCTCGTTTCTGGTGGAATCGTGGCCCAGCTGTCCTCTTGAACCATTTCCAAATGTGAACAGACCCCCTTCCTGAAGCAAACACAGCACAAACAGCAATGCTTCAATGCTCAGGATTGAACATGACAAATACAACTGAACAACTTTCCATATTAACCTACTATAGTTCTAGAATTCTTATCAAAAAATTTTCAGACAGTAACTAAAAAAAGACTAACGATTAAACTAATGGATGTTCAAATAACTACAGCAATTAGACTCAAAACATTTGGATACATATGTAAAATATTGCTAAATGGCAACACTGTTTTCGAACGAGTATGTGTTTTTCAGCACACTGCTATACTTTGGCTGTATGATCAATACCTTTGTCAAGGCAGCGGTGTGCTCCTCTCCACAGCTGATGTACACCACCTTCTGTGAGCGCAGGAACTTGATGTGACAGGGAAAAGCCCGGTCTATGAGATCATAGACAAAAATTATGCCTATTCATGTATACAAGTACTGTTTCAAGTCCATTGCAGAATTCAAACCAGCAACCTTTTGGTTAACCTCTAGGTCAGCGTGTGCGTTTTACCTTGCTCGTCATTAAGGCCCAGCTGCCCCGCGCTGTTCTTCCCCCAGCCGAATACGGCTCCAGACAGCGACAGGGCGAAGCTGTGGTCTCCTCCAGCGCTGATCTGAGCCAGTGGGATCCCACACAGAGATTTGAGCGTTTGAGGAGACAGAGTGCTGGGCTCTCCCTTCCCTAAACCCAGCTGACCGCTGGAGTTCTCACCCCATACAAACAGCTGACCATCTGAGACGAGGAGGACAGCGGGAAACCTCATTTACTGGCACAGCAGAAGTACAGCAGAAAACAAAACTATTGATAAGTCTACACTTACCTTTTGAAAGTGCTATGCAGTGTTGGTTGCCACACATCACTTGTGAGATTCGATGCTCGCACAACTTTTTAATCAACCTAAAAAAATAAATACACTTAATTAAGAAAGCAAGTTCTGGACGACATCTCCTAACAAGTGCACCTGGTAAATCACCTGATAAATAATAAAAAATACATACATTTATACATATTCATATTACAGTGATGACTAAGTCCACATGGAATGTGATTTTTTTTTTTTTGGGCAGTTTTTTCAATCAATTGTGGGAGGAAATCTGTGAAATTTAGAGGAATGGATTTAACATTTTGATTAATTAATTATCAAATTCTTAGTTTAATTCTTAATTTAAAAACTCACTTCAGTGAAATTCAAAGGGGGAAAAATTTTTTACTTCTAAACAGATTTTAGAAATGATAAAATATAAAAGAATTATAAAATAATAATATATATTTTTATATAATAATCAAAATTATGTATTTTGAGGGAGCTACACATCTGTGCAAAATCCACTGCAGAAGGTATTTTATAAATAAATATGAATATCCCAGAAGTACATTATATATTCCTTGTTGCATAACCACTTATTAATTTTTCATAGTTTCTGAACTGATTGTGGGGGGTAACCTGCAATTTTGTGGAATGGATTTAATTAATTAATTTATTTTTGATGCATTACTGAATTAATGGATGCATTGATTAATGGATGAATTAAGGGAAAAAATCTGAAAAATTCTTGAAAACAAAAACATACTCATTCCTATTTTTTTTAATAAATAAAATAAAATAAATATAAAATAATTATAAAATTTGTTATATAATAATAAATAGGAAAGTCATTTAGTATTATGTAAAAGGGTCAAAGGTCCAAGCAGGTGGATGCATCGTTGTAATGTAATGTTGTAAAAAGTTACATATGGTGACTACTTTATGTTAAATGAACCTGAGAGTACGGCATTATTATTGGTAGCTGAAAGCATAATCAAAGTATCCAAAATATTTAATAACAAAATTCTTAATTTACTGGCTGACCAAGAATCTCGCAATCAAATGCCAGTGGCCTTGATCTCATCACACCACGAAACCAAATAAATAACTCTTAATCATTAACTCACTCTGACCACAATGCGCTCATGAAATCATTAAAATAACAAGATGACAAGTGATGTTCAAATGAATTCAAATGAAGGGCTGCGTGTCAGGAAATGTGGTTTTATCTGTTGTGGGTTATTCAGCAGTACTAGAGCCACAACAGAACAGAAGAGCTTTCAGTAATAGCACATTATAACTATCATTAAGTCCAAATCACTTGCGTTCGGGAGCCTCCTGCGATGTGAAAGGCCCCATGCAGGGACCCCCTCACGAGCACGAGGCAATTAAATCCTCATTAGATTCCCCTATCTAGAGCAGACGTTACAATGCCATGCAAAGGAAGCAGCATCTGAAAAAGCATTTACACCACAAAAAAGGAAAGTATAAATGTAATAACAGGAAGCAATGCATCACATGCTTGAAACTTGACTGTTCTCATGCACAGCTGATAGAAAACAAAACAGGAAACTCTGAATTATGAGTTTGCAGATCACCATATATAAAGTGTTTTGGTGAACTATTCCTTAAACTCTGCTTTATAAAGTTTATAAAATGTTCTTATTGATTCACAAAATCTTGCATAAAGTGTGTAACATTTCACCTGGGTACACGGACTGCCTCTTCAGCCATACCCAGACCGAGCTGCCCTCCTTCTCCGGCCCCCCAGGCAAACACCTGCCCCTGCTCGTTCACCGCCAGAGAGTGAGCCTGCCCACACGACACGCCGGCGATCTTCTGAGCATCCAGAGCTCCTACCAGCTCTATGAGACACACACAAACAGCAATTAGATTGCAATATCACTCTCCAGAATGGATGCTTGATAGACATCATTCAAGAGCTTTTCACTGTAGCACCTAAAAAAAAAAATCTGAATCTATATAATCCGCAATCCTGATGGGGGGTAAACAAGAGAATAACTGCTCAACATCTGTTACGAATTTCATGCTTAACATAGTAAATAATAGCCAATACAGCTATTTATAAAAAAATAAAGAACAAAACCACACCAGAATGCATTTCCACAATGCAAACTTTTTAGAAACCAACACAATATGCATCATTCATATATGACTCATATACAGTTTCTTGAATCAGTATCTGGTTTCTACGCTGGACATAGAATAGATTTAACCAAGCAGTAATGCTTTTTTTCCCTAATGTATAAACTAGTTTCTTGGCTTTATTTACACATCCCGGCTCGTACCAACTCACATAACAGGGCCTTCTATCGCACAAATGGTGCTATCTTATTAGCACAGACATGTCAGAGTCCGTCTGCTGCTTGGAATTGTTTTCTTATAAACCGGATTAGCAGCCCTGGACTGGTGAGTCCCAGTGCATGCTGGATAAAACCAGATCTGCTGTCATCATTGACTGTAAATGCAGTTTAATACTGTGCTATAATAATAGCATGATCAAAAAAAAGCAATGTTTTATAGGACTATATCCAGGGCAAATGATTGGTTTGCTACCTCATTTCTGAGAAAAATGCCAAATCATATTTTGATTTTAGATGTGCAAATATACAGTCAAACCAAAATTTATTCAGACACCTTCAACATTTCTCACATTATCACAGTTTATTCACTATAGTTTAGAAAATGGTAATAAAATATGCCAAGAACTCAGAGTTAAACTGTGTCAGAACAAATTCATCTTGATAATGTCAGATAACTTTGATAGAAAGGTATGTAATGAATTAGGTTGAATAGCTGTCAGCTGTTAAATTTAAGTACACAATTAGATAATACCAATTTAGTTCAACCAATCACCAAGCAATGCTTAATTTTGTTCAGTCTGTGGTGTAAAAAGGTTGCATTAGCAATTAAAGAAAAAACATTTCAGCAAAACATGGTCAGGTCAAAGTGTCTGAATAATTTAATGTTTATCAGTTTTACTGGTAGTCCACTGTATGAAGAATTTTTGGGTATAATATGTCACAGTTTACTTTATTTTGCTATCCTCACTTACATAAATGAACTATAGTGTCCTGCACACACTAGTAAAAAATATAAAAAATTATATCTGGTGTCTGAATATTTTTTGGCTTGACTGTATATTGTGCTTACATGCAGTTGTAACATCAAACTTTATTTTCCACGTTGTATAGTAAGTTCAAACTGAATTTATGGCAAAGGCACATTATAAACATTAGAATCGAGTTTTAAATCATTATAAATGGGTTCCAATCATTTGAAAATAATGGAATAATAGGTGTGGTGTGAATATTCAAATCTAATATTTAGCATCAGCTACACAATCCTAAATCTATTTGTTGGGACATCACAGGCTTTTTGGAGAGATATGAGCATCAGTTTATGTCAGTTACCTGGCCTCCATCCTCCCTTGTCATGGCCCAGCTGACCGCAGCTGTTGGAGCCACAGGCGTAAACGCTCCCATCATGCAACAGGAAGAGCGAGTGTTGGCTGCCGCATGCAACTTCTTTAAGACCCCTCCCGTCGAACATGCAACAGCTCCTTGGCTCAAAGACAAACGCCTCCGACGCCCCGATGCCCAGCTGACCTGAGGCACTGCTTCCCCAGCACAGCATCATGATTCACACATAAAGAGGGAGAGAGATGGAAGGGTCCGGAATCAGGGAGAGCTCCTAGGATGTACCGCCTTGCCGTCTCCGCCTGTACATGACGGATCTGGAACAGAACGCAAAGTCTGGCATGAGACGCTGGAAAGCAAATAGGTGAGAAATCAGTAGAGGGGAAGGGAAGAGGTCACACCCCATTCCTCTTTCCATATTGGGCAGTGTGTGTGTAAATGACAGCTAGTGTGGACGGCCGGGCCCTTGAGACAAGAATGCAGATCATAAACCACCCGGTGTGGTTAAATAAAAAAAAACACAGATTTACTAATCCATCTGTCTAACTCCAACACCTACTGAATCATCACAATTCATTGGATTCACTCTCTAAAACATGTACTAATGAAAGTGGGCGTATACGTCTAGGCAGGGGACAGGTTTGTGTACTCAGTTATCATACTAGGGCGGACAAAATATTTGAATATATTTACAATTTTGTTAGCAATATATATCCATGCAACATCATGAATATTACAATTATAAAGAATAATTATGTTCTGAACATTAGAATCTAATTTTGAACGGAAACATTTTGATATTTATAAATGGGTACTGCTGAACGCTCGAATACATTTTCTATAGAATCATAGGAGTGTTCCGAAAATTCGAATCTAATGTCTGGAGAATCATAGGCGTGTTCTGAACGTTCGAATCATATTTTTGAGCATCATGAACAAATTCAGAACGTTCGAACCTAATTGTTGGGACATCATATAGGCGCGTTTCGAAATAACAAATTATTGGAGACGTGTGCGTTCAGAATATTCGACTTTGTGCGTGTTATTGGCGCGTAAGTTACTGAAAGTTCGACATTCAAATCGATTTTATGAACGTCAGGGGCGTTTTCCGAACCTTCTAATCAAAAGTGCCTAATATGATGGTCAGAAATGTCTAGATAGGCTGCACGCTAGGTTTAGAAACAGCGGAAATCTTTCAAATGTGGGTTCAATCTGAGTTCGGCCTGTAAGAACAAGCCTGACACATTTCATGTCTTTAATAAGCCAAATCATGATGTAGTTCCTATACTCCAGATAATAATACTCAAACATCTCATCGGACTGTGCATACAGTACCTCAATACTAATATTCAGGATAATATCAGGACAAACTGACACATAAGTTAACTGCGCACTGACGCTCACTAAACTGTCATCACGCAAATGCTGTGCCCTGTCTAACACAAGTCAAAAATAAACAGATATTTAGGGAGATGATTTAAAGCAGATTAATGTTACCTGGTAATATGCATTTCGTCTCCTGTTTATTTTGACCGTATATTACCGTAATGGTTTCAGTTTAATGGTTCCGACAAAAACAAGGAAGTTACGACTCAGATTAGGGCGTCACTGATCACGTGACTTCTGTCAACCAGCTCTCTAATAGTGTTTGAGTCACTAGAGGGCGACACATGTGGTCCTGATGTGCACATCAGTTAATTCATATAGTTTATTAACAAATGCAGTGTTGGAGACTGATTTGATTTAAAGTTTTGGCATTAGTAATTGTACACGAAATAGCAAAGCACCATGTCGGATGTAAAAAGTCAAGATTTCCAAATGAAAATATAGTATTAAAACTATAATATAACATTCTGTGTATGTTTAAACTCTAGTGCATAAGTATGGTTAAAATATGTGGAATTTTATGTTGTTTCAGGCCTGGAGTCCATTGTAGCGGAGATGGAAAACAAAATCCAATAAAAAATTAGTTGGCACAAATCTTGTTTTTAAGACTGATTTTTACATTGGAGAAGAGAGAAAACACTCAAAAATCCACACTTCTTTTTCTAATGTTTTTATTTAATTTTTTTTCATTATTTAATCTTGGTTTGAAAAAATACAAATAAAATAAATAATTATTTAAAATAGGAGTTTAAATTTAAAATAAAAATAATTATAATAACATTTATTTCAAATTAAGTTCATAATACAACACATCACAGAAATTACAGCATTTAGAAAACAAACCTCTCCTATTTCTCTGGTAGTGGTTATAAATGTAAACTTTGTACTTTCCTTCATTTTTTTTCACACATTAAAGCAGAAACTGATTGTTAAAGTTCTTACAACAAACCCCGATCTCGCTTATATATTAAGAAATATATATTTAATGCCAAGAAAGATAAAGGATCAAACTTTTGATTTTAGTTAGTGTACTCCAGCATCTGCCTCATTCTTCCCAGAACCCCCTCTTGTGGTTGATGGCTTCAATTACTTTAGCCTTTAGCGTTTCCTTCTTCTGATAAACAGGAAGGTCTAGCAGAGCATGGCAGGTGAGGGCCTGTGGTAGATGGTCCTGAGTAAAGATGAACAGGGGTCTCACTCTCATCTTCACCGCACTCATACCCAGAATGGGCACTTTCTCGAACCCTGTCAAGAACACTAGAGAAAGGAAATGGGGGAAGAGTTATTTGAAAACACTCTGGATGTGTCTTGGCATACAGTACAAAATCAAAATTGTAGGAGTAGCTAGAGTAGATGCAACAACAACAACTAAAAAAATTAAGTGTGACTTCTTAAAGGGGTCATATAATGCTATATGCACTTTTACAAGTTGTTTGAACTGAAATGTGTGTTGGCAGTGTGTGTACACAACCACCCTATAATGATAAAAATCCACCCAGTGGTTTTTTGTTAATCTACTAAAATCTTTACCCCTTTCTCAAATCGAGCCGATCTCAGATGCCTGTCTGTGTGACGTCATACAGACAGGCCCCTCCCACGATAGTCTGATTGACAGTAGCGTTTCAGCACAGACTGGATTGGCGTCTTATCTTAGACCTGCCCTGAGTGAGCTGTCATCAGTCCGCCATTGTTTCACCGCCGGAGCAGTTGTAGACAAGAATGACTCCTAAGCGATTGAGGTGTTCTGTTGTTGGATGTAATAATTAATGAACATAGCAGTCGTCATTTACTCCCGAAATCTGAGCCGCTGAAGACGCAGTGGATTATGTTTGTTTTTGAAGGGAATGCGCCCCCGATCTACATAAATGCGTCTATGTTCGCGCGAATCATTCGTGATCCAGCTTCACCTACAGAAGAAGTGAGTGTAAGGTTTTTTTAACGAATCTTTGCAAATCGCCTTTCCTAATAATGTGCTAATTAGCAAGTTTCACGATGAATGCGGCTGAAGTAAACAGTCTCTCTGAGAGCAGCTCGGAAGAGAGGGGCGGGGTCAGCAGAGCTCATTAACATTTAAAGGAAAATGCTGCAAATCTGCTTGCTCTGAAAAGAGCTGTTTTTGACAGGGTAAAAAAGGTGTTTTTTACACTACCATTGAGAAATTAAACCAAACTATGTTACAGATTTTTCATTAAGACCCTAACAAATCATATCAACTTGTGGAAAATGGGCATCCTTATGACACCTTTAAACCACATCTCTTTTCAAAAAACTGTGAACTTACACAAATGTGAACTGCACTAGTGAACTTACACAGAAAGGCCTTCTTCTCATTTGATGTCAGGTCATCAAACACCTCCCAGAATGAGATGATGGTTGGATGCCCAGCATAAAATGATCCTTCATATGTAGTGTTCTATTGATTGAAAGAATACATGTAGACAGTATTCACAATCATTCACAATGTCAAGAGCATAGTAGTTATGACATGTCTGTTTGACATATTATGTGTTAGCATGGACCTGTTTGAGTATGTCCCAGTCATATTCCTCATTGCCCACCAGCACTCCTCTCAGCTCCTCCGGTTCAAACATCTCCACCATGCATCGGTCACATGCTTTGAAGAAGCCTCTCTTGAATTCTTCAAACACTTCCTCCACTGATTTATTCAGGATATAATCCACATACTTGTCCACAAAGTCTTCTCTGTTGCAGAAATTATATTTAACAATAAAAATAATGAGTTTTGCATCCTAAGATTGTAAAATATTATCCTATGTCCAAAAATAAGAATAAGCAAAAAGAATACAATGCTCTAGTGGTGGTTATTTTGGTATCTCTGTAAAATGATCTTTCTCAAAAAAAAATTATAAAACAAAAAGCCCTGACCTGTTAGAATTTGTGACCATTTTTCCTGGCTCAGCTGGATCCAGTTCGATTTCTATTCCATGCCATATGATCTTATGTATAAAGATAAAAAAAACTCTTATGTTTCAAGAAATAACGGGTCTCACTGTGTGAAATCTGTGTAAAAACATTATCACTAGCAGCTGATGATTCACCAATAACTTCCATTCTAAAATATATTAGAAATTTATGAAAAAATGTCGAATAAAAAAAACGAAAAAACTGAAATCATACATACGCAAAATTCACACACCCTGGGTGGCCTTATAAACATGTTAAGATTACATTTTATAAATAGATATTTTAATATATTTAAATATATTTCATCATAAATAAGTAAAAAACTGGTGAGGATCCTCTGCATAAAACACAGTTATGTGTACAGCTGGTTAATGATACGTTTGGGTGTGTTTTATGCAAAGTACATGAGAATCAAACTAACCGTGTAGTACATCTCCATTTCCTCAACATCCTCGCTGTAGTCTAGGATGTACTGCAAACTCCTGAGAACATCATGTTTCAGATTCATTAAACAATGTTACTCGATATGTGATAGATGGCAGCACATTCATACAACATGGACATGCATTTTAGCAGTGATACAAAAATATACCAAGAGAATCAAGATAACATTAATTGTAAAAACACTCACTTGCCAAGACCTGAATCAAACTCAATCAAGTCTTCAAGAGATGGTTTGACATTGAGAAGTTTCTTGAACAAGGCTAAAGGAAAAGGCAGATGCACTACAGAGTTGTTGTTGAAGGCCAAGCCACACAGAATCCCAAACAGGAAGTACTTCTCCGTCTCCACGCTGAGCTGGTGTGGGATGATATGTGGTTAAGGCCAAAGAGAACAATAAGAAAACACAAAAGCGGCATTAGGTATCTTACGGGCCATTCACACATTTTCCATTCTATGTAAACTTCTTTTGCAGCATCTAGCGCATGACACAGTATTCTGAGTTAAAGTTAAAAGAAGTTCAACTTTTTAAAAAAATGTCTCGAGACCTTGCATTTTTTCCCCATTCCACTGTCCACATCTCACATTTTTTCAAAGCAAGTACATGTGTGAATGGTATGTAACCTGATTTAACTAAACTTAGTTACATTTACGTCTTTAGCATGATCTAATGAAAAAACGTTTTTGCCTTACCTGTGCTGGGAACCAGCTCATAGTTTGGTTATCATTGTACATAAACATCTGAGACTCTAGTGCACAAAGCTCTTCAAACACGTTGTGAAAAAAGTCCCTCTTGTTGACATCTGTTTTTCTCATATCCTCTGTGTAAAACACCTGTGTTAGATAACCAAAAGAATTCATTCATACTGCAGCTCATAACTCTGTTTGTATGGTCTTGTCTTGGTTTAAAATAAATAAAATGCCCTGTATGTTATCCAATTAAAGCTTTGCATTGTTCTCTTTCCTTACCGACAGCCAAAATTCTCGGAGTTGTTGCTGAGTGGCCATTCTCAGCTGAGAGAAACTGTCCTCCAGCAGCGCTGTGCGTCTCAGGGTCAGCGGAAAACAACCCTGCAAATAAAATATTTCATTCTGTGTTTAAAAAAAAGGATTCCCAGGAAACCTTCAGGTTGATTTTTTTTTTAAGGCCAAAACAAAATTACCTGCCACACTCTGTTCTTCATATAGCTACATTTGGCCTCCAGGTTAAAGATGCATGGAAGTGATATAAGATTTTTTAGGATTGCCTAAAACAAAATAAATATCATGTTCATGTTAGTTGATCTGAAATTTGGATGCATATCATATCATATCAGATATGGCCAAATGCCTTTGGTGCTCACATTGTAATAGTTTTGCTGGTCTATCACTGCTTGGATTTGTCCAGTCCAGTTCAACATCACCCAGTTGTTATTCATATCATCATTGATGGTTTGCAGCTGTTGATTTGGGGGAAACAACATTTTCTAGTATTTTTGGTTTTCTTATACAAAATGTTTATTGTAACTGGAATTCATATTCAAATAGTATATTAGTTCTGAAAATATCAGCAGATAACTATGGTTGAATCAAATCTAATCTAAATGTGTTTTCAAGTATGTTTCTAACTACAGTCATATTTGTATGACAAATACAGTGATTGCTTCCATATTTACTGTTGCCAATCAAAAAGATATAGATGATATTGTATAATTATCGGCCAAAAGCCAATACACACAATTTTTTGGTTCTCACCACATCTAGTAGATCATTGATCTCATTAATAATGAAATCACTCTTTGTGATGTTTCTGTTAGCACTGCAGCAGACCTTCAGAACAAAGACACAAATGCATAAGAAATTTAAAGGTTAAAGGGATAGTTCACCCAAATATGAAAATTCTGTCATTAATTACTCACCCTCATGTCATTCCAAACCCGTAAGACCTTCGTTCATCTTCGGAACACAAATGAAGATATTTTTGATGGAATCTAAGAGCTCTCTGACTCTCTCATAGACAGCAATGATCCTAACATGATCAACGCACTGAAACGTAGCAAGGAGATCGGTAAAATAATCCATGTGACATCAGGGGTTCAACCGTAATTTTACGAAGCTACCAGAATACTTTTTTGTGCTCAAGGAAAACAATAATAACAACTTATTCAACAATTCTTCTCCCCGAGTTACCGTCTTCCGCCATTTTGGAGAGTACCCCAGAACGTAATCAGCATTGTTTACGTTCAGTAGACAGCGCTTGCATGCTGAACGTAAACAACGCTGATTATGCGGAAGACGGTAAGAATTGTTGAATAAGTTGAAAAAGTATTCTCATAGCTTCGTAAAATTACGGTTGAACCACTGATGTCACATGGACTATTTTGTCCTTACTACGTTTCTGTGCGTTGATCGTGTTAGGATCATTGCTGTCTATGGGAGGGTCAGAGAGCTCTCAGATTCCATCAAAAATGTCTTAATTTGTGTTCCGAAGATGAATGAAGGTCTTACGGGTTTAGAACGACATGTGAGTAATTAATGACATCATTTTTATTTTTTTGGTGAACTATCCCTTTAAATGTTTACTTCTGATGAAATATATAATATATATATATATATATATATATACAAATACAATAAAGGCACCTGATAGACCATCGCAAGGATCTGCACAAATTTCGGCAGGCGTGTTTTTATGTCCATGTTCATACTGTCAGCAGCAATCCTGCCAATCATAGAAGTTGAAGCTTTTCTAAATAACTTCACCAGGCCTTTGAGCCAACCATCAGGGAGTTTGGACCAGTACTTCTCTGAGAATATAACATACAAATACTTAGACAAATACAACAAGGACAACAACATAAAGGCTGAAAAGTTCTCCCAGCTTTACCTAACACCTTGTGAGCATCAGGATCCAGCTGAAGGATTTTGGAGGCCAGAGCTTCAGTGAGTTCGGTTTTTTGTTTCTTGAGACGTCTGATGAGCTCAGGGAGGAGAAGATAAACTCTCAGCGATTCCACACCAGTTGGATTTGGATTCAGAGATGGCAGCAGTGTCTGTTCAACCACCTTCACTACCTGAGATACACAAACCATTAACTGCATCTTATTGTTTAAAACGTAAAGAACAGTTTTTGCAAATGTTGGATTCATCATTACCTCTGATATCAAGCTTTCATTCTTTGATAACTTTGCAAAGGATGTTTTAACCAGATCAAAATCCAAACCACAATGATCCTCAGATGTCTGATAATGTTGGTCGCAACTACAAAAACAGACATTTAGATTATGATTTTGGGCACAGAAAGGAGGAATTACTAAACAAGACTATCTAATTGTGATTAGAATATTTACCTTGTTTTGAGGAAGCTTCCATTCAGAGAGGCAGCAGAGGAGAATACTTTGTTTATGTCCCTGTAAACAACAAAGCTCTACTTTAAATAATATTGTTTATAGTTTTTGATATTAATTCATTAATATGTTTTATTTTTAATTATTACTATTAATTTATATCTCATTGGGACATATGTCTCGATTCATTTATGTTAAGAAAATCTATTTTATGGATAGATAACACAAATGGGTACACAAACTCAGGAGCCTTTAGCATTTTTAACTCACTGTAAGCACTATATATAAAACTGAGTCAAGTACTCACTTCTTTGCCATTTTCTTTACCATTTTCCTTGGTTCACTTCTAGATAGCCATCGCCCAATCATTCTGTCATCTAATGTCAAAATCCCCCTGCTTGGATTTGGTTTGGACTCATTCCCAGGTTCCTACAACACACACACACACAAAACACATAAGTAATCACAGTGCAGCAATAATTTCATCGTTAAACAATATGTGAATTAAAACTGCCTGCCTTACTGTACCTTGAAAGACAAGGCAAAGGAATGATTCTCCCCAGCAAGGAGTTTTTCAATCGTATATTCATGATTACATTCTGTGTGCAACAAATGTTTAGTTCAGTTCAGAGTTCTGAACAACATCTTGAGTAAAAAGTATTCATTATAAAATAACCAAAGATGATTTATAATTACCAGTTGGCAGATCCACAGGGTAAGGCACAGACTTATTGATCATTTCTCCATTTCCCAGCTGCCCTTGCATCCCACATCCAAACGAGTAGATCAGCTTTGACGATGCGATTGATACGAGTGTGTGATGTCTTTATGAATGAAAGAATCAAAAGCCTAATTACTGAGCAGAACTCAAACATCAGACATGTTAACCATGTGAGGAAAGAAATCTTTACTCTTGCTCTGAGATGCTGATTGCTAATAAAGCTTATGAACAGTCTTTACCTCCCACATGTGACCTGTGACACTTCAGATCCCCACAGTTCAGATCAGTCTGATTTTATTCTTTAGCTGTAGTTGCTCTGGAGTAAATAAAATATTTTCATCAGTTCAACTTTTGTTTAGGTTATAAATAAACAAATAGACACTTATATAATTATGATTAATTCCATTAATAAGTCACAAACATTATAGGCTACAGTATAGCTCAGGAGCTCATGTGATTTCAAATATAAACATATGAAAATAATGAAACATAATGACGTCTTCGAATTTATGAATTAAATAAAGTATAATTTGGTGAAACCTATCATACTCAGTTTTCCATCATGATCATAGTCTTCACTGCGCAATCTCAGGACCGAGACCTTCCCATCTCGTATAAATCCAGCAAAATTCCTTCCAGCTGACATGTGCTGAACTGCTGTTTTCGGACACATGGATCGTATTCCACTTTTGCCATGTTTGACTTGGTCAGGCTTTACCAGCCCCAAACCCTCTCTGACCTGCGCTCCCCAAAAACACAACATGATCACAGCTGATGCACGAGAAGATCAGACTCCAGAAGAGTCTCTCTGCAGTGCATCCTGGTCTGAGGAACACACTCTCGTTAAATATAAAGAGAAAACGAGAGCGAAACCGATGACTGTTTCGAAAATCATCGATTTCTTACGAAACGAAAGTAATGTTTGTAGTCATGCTTCCGCGTTTGTAGTGAGTCGTAGACAATGAATGCATGATAAACGAAGAACCATCACTGTTACGGTGCAGGATAACAAAGACCGGTTGATTACACTTGAATTACTTTTAAATGTATAACTGTTACTAATCAAATGTTTGTTAAACATTAGACAGAGAGAGATAGCAAGTGCAACAATTTTCCTCCGTGAAAACACCTGTTTGTCTCCTGTCATTGAATAATTATGCTATAAGGTTGATGAGAGTGAATAATGCGTCAGTCTGTCAACTATGATTAATACTCCCATCTGTATGCGAGTATCTATACAGCTATGCAGAAACACTGGGAATCAAGCCCAGACCCATACTAATATGGAGTATGCATTCCTACATTAAATCAAACATAGGCTATCTATAATGCTAAATTTACTTTTAAAATGTTTTAATTTTAAACATGCATTAGCACTGGACCTCATTAATAGTGAGTAATGGTTAATTAATGAGACAGTCTGTCTTTTATGTTTACTTAAGGTATTTGTGCATTATAAACTTTTTTCTATTATTGCTTATTGTCCTACAAGTATAGTCTTTTTTTTTTCTGGATGCAATACAAATTCAGCAGTGCCGTTTTGATGTCATAAAATGCACTTAATTCCAACACTACTTTGGTATATATAACTAATGATTAAAAGACCTAGGAACGTATTTGAGGGCTGCGTTTGGCAGAAAAACAGCATGCAGCTTGTATTAAGGCCAGAAGAAACAATCCACCTCTTTAACTTCCCCTGGAACCATATTTGTACCTTGATTCATCAGTGATGACTGTTCAGCATCTATCTGATGTCAGGAATGATAACACAACAAGTGTGGTCTTGTTTGGAATGATAAAGTCTTCACTCTAAAGGGAATTATTTGAAAAGCCTTTTTTATTATTTTTTTATTACTATATGAGCAGTTTACAAATAAATATGCCTAGAAGCTAACTTTTTTTTTTTGTTGTTTACAATATATTTCTGGCAGGTAAAAGAAAGAAAAAAAAAAGACTCTTTGGAATGCTAACATGCAAGCCTTCAAAAACATTTGATGTTAACCACCTGGTGAAAACAGGTGTCACTATACTTAACACTGACCGCTCAACTCAGATCCAAGCATCATGCTCAGAAAGAAAACAGAGTGGTTCAGTATGAGAATAGAAGTCCATCGTCAGAGTTACACTTACATCTATACAGTATGGCTATTTTGAGTTGTGGTTTCCCATGTGAAACCACTTGATGATGTTTGCAGTGGTTTCCAGACCAAAGTGTCAAAATGATGACACCAGATATTGGCACCAGAATCCACGCTGCATGCCTGTTTTATGATTCCAATAAACATCACCTGCTCTGGCAATCACTGTGTTCTGTGCTACTGAAAAACACTCCCAGAAGCGAAATAGAGACTTGCAGCCATTGAAAGCATTGTTGGCTGTTGCAGTATATACTGATTTTTATTTTACACTTTCTCACACACTTTTAAAAATAAAGGTTACAAATAGGAGTTCTTACAGTGATGTCATAGAAGAACCATTTTTGGTTCCTTAAAGAACCTTTCAATGAACGGTTCTTAAAAGTGTCTATTTTAAGTGTTAAGTGTAAAAAAGTTTCAATTTCAAGTATAAAGAAAAGTTCAAGTATTAAGTTCCATATAGACATGGCATAACACGGCCCCTAACATGTTAAAGCCGAATGTGTGATGAGTCTGATGACTCTTTCATGTTTTATGTTCATCTCTGATTTCATCTCGTTTCAGTGAAATTGTGTAGACCTCTGGTCAGGGATGGTACTTTGCCTTAACTTGAATGTTTCTGTGAAAATTTCAACCCTGTGGCTAAGGGGAATTTCGGTTTTAAATTATGCTTGTCATTCCTTTACAGTAAATCAAGTACTGTACAACAAGTTGGTAAAAAAAAAAGAAGAAGAGCGAGTCAAGTAGCCATTAAGCATTAAGAAAAAACACAGCAAAAGCAAAATAAAAAAGACCTTTCTTTTGCATTTGAATGAAGCACTGATGCTTTCACAGTGTAGAAGTTTGAAGAATTTTTGATTGAAGCTTCCAATATAGCTTGTTATGTTCATCTCTGATTTCATCTCATTTCAGTGAAATTGTGTAGACCTCTGGTCAGGGATGGTACTTTGCCTTAACTTGAATGTTTCTGTGAAAATGTCAACCCTGTGGCTAAGGGGAATTTCGGTTTTAAATTATGCTTGTCATTCCTTTACAGTAAATCAAGTACTGTACAACAAGTTGGTAAAAAAAAAAGAAGAAGAGCGAGTCAAGTAGCCATTAAGCATTAAGAAAAAACACAGCAAAAGCAAAATAAAAAAGACCTTTCTTTTGCATTTTAATGAAGCACTGATGCTTTCACAGTGTAGAAGTTTGAAGAATTTTTGATTGAAGCTTCCAATATAGCTTGCCTAATTAGACCTCTGGGCACTGAGGAAAAATGACATTTTTACCTGTCTAAGACATGTTCAAACACAGTGTTATCCAGCACTAGCATGAAAAACACAGCCATAAATGCAAAACCGTTTCATGAATTTGAATACATTCTTAAAATATATTATAATAATTCAAATGTATTAGTATAATTCATTATACTGTTGATAAGTATTTCTGTTCATAGGAGAAATGCAGGGTCAATAGCTATATGATATCTAAAGCTCATGTCTTACCGTTAATATTGACTGATATAAGTTTTATATACTGTACACTTTGAGCAAGCTCACTATTTCCTTTTTATTCTTTGGTAAAAAAATAAAACTTTTTCTAGAAGCACAGAAATAATGAAATTTGCACAAAAGAAAAAAATATAAATTTTCTGTTAGCAATTTCAATATTTCTGTGCTTTTTTTTTGCCTTGAGAGTGAGCAGTTTTCTTTTGGTTAAGATATATAATAATGATATTATTACATTTCTTATAATGCATCACATGCTTTAATCCAAGATTTACTAATTAAATTGGTAAATCAATAACCATCAGTCACATTGGGACATGTCAACAATGTATTGAGAGTAAGATGTTGTAATGACAGATATGATTGATAAAATGACTCCATGGTGACTCACTGAGGTGTGTTGCTTCGCTCCTTCACACCTGTTCAAAAATCCCAAAATACCCAAAAGGATGATCATGATGAGCACACTGGATGGCAGGTGTGTGTGATCTTTACAATCAATGAAAGAGTACATTTTTTCTCATCAAGGACAAGAAGATATGTCTAATTCTCAACATTCTCTCAAGCATCAACATCTAATTGCCACATTCTAATATGTGAAAATCATTTTAGCCACATCATTTTTTTAGCGGTTTGACATCTTTACTCCAGTTTGTGATCACCATTTGCATTCCAGCAGTACAAATGGTCATCATTACAGCTAAGCGTTTGGATGCTCAGTGAGGAATTTGAAGGGACTTCATGATTTTCCTATCGCAAGTGATAATTCTCATGACTCCAATATATGCATCTCATATTTAGTAATGTAATGGAAGCAAGACTTATTTTCATAACCTATACAACAGGTTGCAATCTATCCTCAAGCCATCTTAATTCCACTTAAAGAACTTTCTCCCAGGTGATTTACCTGGCCCATAATAATTTTTGTTCCTAGTTTTTGCAAATAAAAGTGCCTCAGGGGTCTCATGATGTGACAGCCCCCTCGTCTTGTCAAAACTCGCCTGTAAGTGGCTGTAGGTCAGAAAAACTGAGGTATATTGCATGTAAAGGGGTAAAAAGCATGAATGCCGGGTCCTGGATTACTCATCACATCTGAACGTGCCTGCTCGTAAATATAATCGCTTTTGGAGCACATCTTTATACAGAAGGACAGGGGTACAACAAGAAGATTATACTCATTCCTCTTAAACAAGAGTCAAGGTGAGTTGTGCTATTAAGGGACTTTTCTTTTAAAGAATCTGTATTGTTTCGTTTTATGACCGAACTTCAACTGTTTTCAAGTGCAAGTTCAAGTTTCTGTGTCCATGGACTGGAAAAGTCTGTCAGGTTGGTGATAAACTGTTCTAGGAACAGCCAAACTTCTTACTCATTAATGAAAAACACTGGCAATGAAAGGGTGAAACTTTTGGCACATTGTCAGGCTTCAAACTGAAATATTCAAAGTAGAAAACCTATGATATAATCCATAATATAGAAGACTCCATTTCTAGGATTTTATCTGTTTGTAGTGATATGTTTGATGTTTAAGAATGATATTTTTTCCAGCTCAAAGGAATTCCAAAGATGTGTAGCTTATATCATTATACTGAAAGAATCTAATCTGTAAAGGAAAATCTCTTGTAAGTACTCATTTGTGGTCATGAGCTTATTGTGTT